GGCTGGGGGCCGCGGGGACCGGGGGAGCCCTGCCTGGCGCGGCCGCCGCCGCCGCCGGTGTTTGTTGTTGTCGTCAGCCGCTTCCGGCGCGAGGGCTGCCGGGAGGGGGCGGCGCGCGGGAGGGACCGCGCGGCGGAAGCGGCGGCGGCGCGCGGGCCCGGTCGGACGCAATCCGGGAGTGGGCCGGGGTGGGATGGGCTGTGCCGTGACCGGGCTCGGCGTGGAGGGGCCCTGGAGGGGCCCTGAAGGGCTCCGGTTCCAGCCCCCTCGGCCCACGGGAGCGACACCGTCCGCTAGAGCAGGCTGCTCAGAGCTCGATCCACCCCGGCCCTGCGTACTTGCAGGGATGTGTTCAAGATCTTCCCACCTTACCTCTAGGCAGCCAGTTGCATTTCTTCACCAGCGTCACACTAAAGAATTTTCTCCTAGTGTCTAATCTAAAACTACTCTTTTTCAATTTAAATACATTCACCCTGTCCCTGCATGCCCTTTTAAATAGTCTTGCCCCAAGTTTCCTCCTTCCTGCCTTCCCTTAAGAAACTGGGAGGCCACAATCTGGTCACCCCGAATCTGGTCACTCTTTTCCTGGCTGAACAATCCCAATTCTTTCAGCCTTTCCTCACGGGAGCGGTGCTCAATCTGATCAATTTTGAAGGCCTCTGGATTCGTTTCCGCCCAGGTGGGACACCGGAGCTGGATGCAGGTGGGATCTTCCCAGGGCAGAAGGGCAGAATCCCCTCCCTTGCCCTGCCTGCTGCGCTGCTTTTGATCCAATCCAGGACATGATCGGCGTTTGGAAGTCAGGCCCATGGCCTTACCCGAGTGAGAGGTTTATTCAATTTCATTTTAATCTGAGATGACAAGAGGTCAAAAGTTTAGGAAATCTACAGACAGGTTTAAATATCTGTCCTGTATGTTTTGAGTTTTGTTGTAAAGAACTATACTGAAATAACTTACGTGCTTCACTGACATTTGGAATTATAAAAATAAATCTTTAAAAAAGATGGTTTTAGATGACACTTTCTTATGCTCTGCTCAAACAGAAAAATGTCAACTTCTAGAGAAACTTACCAAACACTTTTGCCATGAAATCTAACTTACACCTACAGGGATACCAGTTCCTACCAAACTTCTAGATATCACCTGTCACTTAAAGAAAGTGAGATCACCATGGCCAGTCCAGCCAAAGGATGTGTCTATTTCCTAAACACACAGGAAGTTTTTTAAGACCAGAAATTGACACCTGCTAGCAAGGATAAACTGGAAAGAAATAAAAAGAGAAGGATTCATAGCATGGGAATCAAGGGCTCTCTGTCACTATATTCTTTTTCCTGTCATAGGCATTGACTATTATTTCAGCATTTAAGATGATGGCTGTTTGCATTTCCAGATGCTAGGCAGAATTTAGCAAATGTTCAATTCATCCCTGTGCCAGCAAGTGAGGGTGGCCCCAGGTGCACTCACTGTCCAGGCCGGACTCCCATCCCCCAGGGATGAGCCCTCGGAGAGCTTTTGACATAAAGCAGCCCAGGAGGTCAGTTCCCAGAGTGGGAACTTTTGGTTTCTGTTTCAAGTTTCTTTAGAGGCTTAGCCCACTGAACTTTTCTTTGGGATGAGGACATTTCCACATAAATTAGACAAGAGTGAATTTGAGAGGAATACAAGCAAGAGGCTTGTTTGACTCAGAGATGCAGGAGAGGATCACAATGCTGGCATCAAGGACATCCTCTAGCCAAGATCCCTTGAGAACACCATACAGCTGGATTGTACTTTCTCTGCTGCCTACCTTCACCTCTCCTTCCATAACATGCACCACAGGCAGCAGGTCATGGCAAAGCATAATGTTGTGGCCAGGGTATATTCAGATATAGAATATTCTCTGCACATAGGAGGAGGATTACAAAAACAAGTGCAAGCATATCCCAAGCACAGGAAGGACATCAGCATGCTGGAAAGAGTCCAGAGGAGGCCATCAGGTTGTGTAGAGGGATGGAGGATCTCTCCTATGAAGAAAAGCTGCGAGAATTTGCTTTGTTCATCCCGGAAAAGAAAAGGCTTTGGGGTGACCTAATTGTGGCCTTCCATACCTTAAGGTACTTCTCACAAGCTGGACCAGGCTTATGGTTTTCACAGTAAACTTGTAGTAGCCACCTCTGCTATGTTGGGGAGCTTCCTGCCTTCCTGACACATTAAAAGCTATGTTGAATAGTCACAGCCTGTCCAGACAGAAACTTCTTGGCCTTTTAAAAAAAAACAAACCCAGTTGCCGCCTTGTGGCACCCCATAAAAAAGTACTCCCCAACTCTGCAGCTTGTTGGGAGATGCATCCAAATTCTGAAAGACGCCTTTGACACTTCAGACTACAGCAATAAACGGAGCAGGGAAGACATCAGTACTCAAACAGATGTAATGTTATGGAAAGTATAATACAGAACAAGTGGCATGCATGCTATTGTCAGAAGTCAAGAAAAAAAACCCAAAACTTTGAGGTTTGGTAAGCCTGAAGCACAAGTAAGTATCATTAAAATTCTCTTCAGGAGAAACTACTGAGAGTGACCTCCTGAAGGCTGAGAAGCTGAGACACTGGCAAGAGAAGCAGCAGCATCTCTTCGAACTGGAGCGGCAGTGCCGGCAGGGCTTGTAGTTTTCTGGCAAAGCGCCTCTGCCAGTCAGGCTTCCAACAATTCCATAAAGTGAGGCTTCAGGCACTTAAGCATGGTTCTGGTTTTTACAGCACGTGTGGGACAGCTCTTGACTGATTTGTGAGGCAGCTCAGGCAGGACTGAAGCAGGAACTTCAGTTCTGGGGAGTAGGCAAAGTGCTGCTAGCAGAGCAGGTTGTTCTGGCTTGTTCTTATAACATTTCATTATGTTGCTTCCTCTCAAAGTGTTCCAGAGTCACTTCATGCCAAGCAACTAATTACAGGTTTTTTTCATGAGCCTGTCTGAACAAAACCTAAAATTTAGTATTATGTTGTATCGTTAAAAAAAAAAAAAAAAAAAAAAAAAAAAGCATTTTTTGAAGAAGTTTTTGCTCTAGGATATAAGAAAAGAAAGCATTGAATCAGGGTTACTGAGAATTCTTCACATTTTCAAAGTGCTGTACAAAATGTATATTATTATTCTTTCAAGGTACTGTTTAGGATCCACCTATACTTTTTTTCCTCATTCTGTAAAATAACCAAGAAGGTTGAAGGGGTTTTTCACTGTGTGCTTTTAATTTTGGGTGCTAAATTTGGCATACCAAAGAATGTGTCTCTTAAACTACATATTTATGCAGCTGTAGTCAGAGAGCAAAAAAAGCAGGCTGCTCTTTAAGGGAAAGCAAACTGGGAGCCAAGGCTGGCAGCAAGGGGCAGTGTCACAGACAAGGGGAACAGTCCCACAATATCAGTGAGGTCTGGTGACTTTTTCTGTACAATTGTTATCCACATGCCAGTAAGGGACTGATACTGTCAGTATTTATTTAGTTGCAAATGTACTTCAAAACCCACATCTTCCTATTTTCTTTAGCTCTGCTTGCCAGAAATTTACCCTGTGTACTTCTGCTTCCCGTACTGCTGTGTCTTGGTTTAACCCCAGCCAGCCACCAAGTACCACAAAGCTGCTTGCTCACACAGTTCCCCTCCTCTCACAGTGAGATGTGGAGGAGAAGCAGGAAATAATTGTAAAACACATGAGTTGAGATAGAAACACTTTAATAATTCAAATAAATACAATAATAGACACAACAAAAAGAGAAAAAAATAAAACCTGAAACAGACAAGTGATGCCTAAATCAGTTGCTCACCACCCACTGACAAATGCCCAGCCCTGCCTTGAGCAGTGATCGGCCCCTCCCAGCCTCAACTCCCCCCAGTTTCTATACCAAGCATGACATTCTATGATATAGAACATCCCTTTAGTCTATTCAGGTCAGCTGTCCCAGCCATTCTCCCTCCTGGCTTCTTGTGCACCTGCTCACTGCCAGAGCATGGGAAATTGGAAAGTCCTTGACTTGGGATAAGCCCTGCTTAGCAACAGCTAAACCATCAGTGTGTTATCAACATTATTCTCACACTAAATTAAAAAAACACAGCACTGTACCAGATACTAAGAGGAAAATTAACTCTGCCCCAGTCAAAAACAAACACATTGCTATCTTCATAAATTTTCCTTGATTTTTGGTTTTTTGGGTGTTTTTTTTGTTTGTTTTTTCTTTTTCCCCCTCTTCCAAATACTGGAAACAGCTATATTCATTCCTCAGCTAGGTGAGGCTCATGCTTTAAACCCAAGTTCCTTCCTTCTCTGTTGATGCTTTGTGACATCTTGCAAAGTAATCAACAAGTATTTGTTTTCAATTTAAGTCTCCCTCCAACTAAACAACCACTTCAGAAACCAATATTTTTTAAACGACAAAGTACTGTTCTGACCTGAAATACGCAAAGTGAACAGCAGTCTCCAACATCACCAGGGCTCCTGCGTGTTTTGAGAGAGAACTTCAAGAACTTTGATTATCCTTTAATGTAGCCTGGCAGTCCATGGCAAACACCAAGTCCTGTCTCATCTTTTGCTTCTTTTTGAGGGCACTGGCTAGTCCATAAGCAATCACTAATTTGTTTTTGAATGGTTAGTGACTCAAGAACAGCTGATGCCATTTTGAAAGCATGCCACTCCCTCTGACCTCGTTATGGATCATTCCTAACCAGTGATTTTAACATCATGTGGCTTCCCAATGTTTCAGTAGTTCTGACTACACAAGTTTTGAATTCATAAGTGATTTTTCTTGTTTGCTGTGAAAGCTCCTTGCAGGAAGGGAATAGTTAGGTTCAATTTAACATCTAGGTCATGAGATCAGTT